TGAAAAAAAAGCCTTTTTTAGGTGATATCTATTACATGCTGACACAGTAGGTGCGAGTTTAAACGCGGAACTCTCTGACATCACGCACCTAGACAAGAAAGTCGCTGTCAGCAGCCAGGTTTCAGCGCTTGACCTCATGACTCATGCCATGGATGCGCGCAGCTGTGTGTCTGCGCTAATCATTTGTATATCGTCATCCCCCGGTGATATCTATTACACGCATGCGCCGCGGATTGCCAAGAAAACTTTTGTCAGCAGCCAGGTTTCGGCGCTTGACCCCATGACTCATGACAAGGAAAATACGAATACGCGTCCAGGTGTTCGCGCTAATCAAAGGCATCCCGGTGATATCTATTACATGCACGCACCGCGGATCGCCTTGCGCTGCGGACCTCCCCTTCCCCGCGTCGAGGGATTGCGTAGCGTCGCGGTCCTCCCCGCGCCCGCGCGGATCGCGTAGTGCTGCGGTCCTCTCCTCCCCGCGTCGCGGATCGCCGCGGAATATCTCCCTCCCCGCGCCTCCGCGGATAGCCAAGCGCTGTGGAATAATAAACGCGGAACTTCTCGACATCGTTCACCTTGATAAGAAAGTCATCAGCCAGGTTTCGGCGCTTGACCCCGTGACTCATACGCGTCCAGGTGTTCGCGCTAAAAATGACAGGTCAGCACCTAGATATCTGTTACATGTCACGTAGTGACAGGTCAGCACCTTGCGTGACGTCAAGGTCGCGTACTTCCCTCCTCCCGCGGTCCCCTCGCCCCAGAGTACCCCCTCCCCGCTGTCCCCTCGCCGCGGGGTACCCCCCCGCCCCGCTCCCCCCTCGGAGCACCCGAGTTAGAACCGGCCTATATACCCTACTTGATTGGTTTATAATAAGATTATACTTCAAACAGTCTTAAATATAAGAATGTACTATAAATATCTATCGATGTACGATATACATGTTGCTGATTCTCTCTCTCTCTCTCTCTCTCTCTCTCTCTCTCTCTCTCTCTCTCTCTCTCTCACTCTCTCCCCCTCGCACGCACGCACACGCACACGAACACGCACACACACCCACGCACCCGCACACGAACGCACGCACGCACGCACGCCGTTATTATTAATCAGTCAAGTACATACATTCAAGAGGCACGTAGAGGTTACCGAGCAAAATCTCAAGCTACAAGCATTTCGGTGAGTTTTTGTTGCTCATCTCGATAAAAACCACAGAAATACTTGCCGAAATGCTCACGGCTCGAGGTTTAATTCAAAGTTTTACAACTCGATAATCTGGATACATCTATCTATACAAATATGTTTATACACAAATATTACGATTAATGGATACTTACTATACTTTGAAAGACTTCCCAACTTCGATCAGAACACACAGGAGTACAAAACACAACAGAACAGTACAATTCAAGTGCGTCTAAATTTTTGAGAAGGTTAAACCTACACGAGACGAACGATCGCATCCGGCGATATGTGGCCAAATAATAGAAGATCGGACAGACAGACAAAAGAAAGTAGTATCACGCGAGCACCGCGTTGTTATCATGCGCTGACTTATGGCTGCGCGCGCTGGTTGCCGGCAGCGTTTCCGCGGCCTGTATGCAAAACCTATAAGATGATCTTACATTAGACTGAATTCTCATGAAGTGGATTGCGCGAAACGAAACCAGCGAATCCGCTAATTATGGGACCGTGTTCATAGTTATAAGTATATTCAAAACTGTGAGATATTGGTAGCCGTGTAAGAGCTGCGGGAGCGCGACGCACTGTCCGCGAGGCGCTGTAATCTAGTAGTAGTCATGACGGAAGAGAAGCGTGAACAAGGATCTCCGCCGGTCTTTTCATTAAAAGTGATAGTACACAAGTATAGACAATTTCCTTTACTCAACCCCTAAACATTGGCGCCCAACAAGGATCATCAGACGCAGGAAGCTGAGAAGAAGATCTAAGTGCTAGAAATTGTGGGATTCAAGGTACATAGCCTCACGCCGGTCCGTCAAGACGACGCTGGCGTAGCAAAAATCCACACGCGCAACGCCTGTGAAAACCAGTGAATCGGACGACGAGACGCGTCTCACAGACAATAAATAGTTCGAGAAATACGTTTGGTCAAACGTACGGCGACGAGAACGCAAAGCATCTCTCGATCTCGCTTGCTACGACACGACGTCTATTTCTCTCTCTGTCTCTCCACGAGGCATCGCGCGCTTAGCGGCGCAACGTCTATTTCTCTCTCTGTCTCTCAACGAGGCATCGCACGCTTAGCGACACGACGTTAGGCACGAGCAACGAAACGGCAAGAAGCTCGCTCGCTCTCGCTCTCTCGCTATCTCTCCACAAAGAAACGCGCGAGGCGTTTCTGGCTCTCATCGACACGAAGAAAACCAAGACGAAGGCTGAAGTTCTTCCTGCAACGAGGATCGCGCGCTCGATCGAACGAGGCTTCGCACTTTGAGGAAGCAAGGGACAACCACGGGCAGGAACGATACACGCAACGTGGGGCTGGAAGTCAGGTAGGAGGGTCGCAAAAGCTCCCGTCATTATCCACCGAGAACACTGGTAAGTTCGAGAAAAATGACGGATAACAAAGAATGGCGAGCCAAACGCGCGGCGATAAAAGGTACAGTCACGCGCGCGTTGACGTTTTTCGAGTCACCGGGGAAAAAGTCAGTAGTCGACGCAAAAATAAGGTTAGCTAAACTCGAAGAATGTTGGAAAAACTTCGAAGAGATACAATTGAAAATCGAAAGTAAGCATACGGAAGATGATGAAGAGGATGAAGTCTTTAAGCAACAGGTCGCCGAGGGTGAAGCGGAAAGGCAGACTTTCGAAATGAATTATTTCAAAGCAGCGGGCAGGGCTCAAGAGATCATCGAACAGGACCTGTTAGAGCAGCGACAACAGAAACCGCCCGTACAACAGAATCCGCCCGTACAAGAGGCCGGGACGACTCCAAAAGTCGTTCCACAGGAACCAGCGCGGCAACGACCAAAATTACCGGAAATCAAACTCCCTGAATTTAGTGGAGAATTCACGCAATGGATGTTCTTCAAGGATAGCTTCGAAACAACCATTCATCAAGAAAAACAATTAACGGCGATGCAAAAACAACAATATCTCGTGGGTGTGCTCAAAGGCGAGGCACTAAGCGTTATTCAAGGTTACAAAATCTCGAATGAAAACTATGAGCATGCATGGAAGTTGTTAAAAGACACATATGATAATAATATAATCATAATCGAAAGTCATCTAGAAGAATTATTAAATTTTCCAGCGATCACAAAGGAAAATAAAGCGGACTCGATACGGCAGTTCGTGTGGCACATCCGGACTCACATGACGTCGCTCAAGGCACTCGGGTTACCAGTCGATCAGTGGGAGACAGTCCTTATGCATCTCGCGAAAAAGAAGTAGACTTCACTGAGCAGCGAGATTGGCAAAACACCATTAAGGATCGTACGACGGAGGACATGCCAAAAATGGAGGAATTCTTGAAATTTCTTACAGATAGATGCAACACGCTGAGGGTTCTCAACCAAGCAAAGCCGAAGGCATCGGGAGCGAAGCCGCCGGAAAAGAAGAAAGTGGAGAAGAAAACCGTTCTTACGTCTACTACACCAGAATGCAAATTCTGTAAGGGCTCTCACTCGATTTACAAGTGCGAGGAGCTTCAAAAGCTATCGCCCGACGACAGGAAGAAGGAGATTATAGTCAAGAAACTATGCGTGAATTGTCTCGGAGCGGGACACATTGCGAGGGATTGCAAATCGATTTCATGCAAGAAATGCGCTAAGCGTCATAACACGTTGCTGCATAGAGACACCGAAGGGCAGTTCGGCGAGAACAGCGAAAAGGAGGTACCACCGGTCGTCACACACTGCGTGCAAGGATCGACGAGCAGCTCCAAGCTTCCAACGATGACTAAAGACGAAGGAAGTTTGGTGAAGATTTATTACACGCACAAGCCGAAGGGAAACGTTATTCTTTCTACAGCGCGAGTGAACGCGTACGACAGTCAAGGATATTTACACGAATGCAGGGTTCTATTGGATCCCGGCTCTCAATCTAACCTGATAACGGAGAGTTTTGCGAAAGAAATCAGATTGTCAACTCGAGCGGAAAAACGACCCATCAGCGGTATCAATCAAACCAGGACGAACGCCACGAAGGTGACAAAAGTTCGAATCAAATCCATTCACTAAGGATTTTCAGGTGATCTAGAATGTTTGATATTGCCGGCAATAACAGAGCAATTGCCACAGATCGGGTCGACGTAACGAAGATACGGATGCCGAAAAATCTACGCTTGGCTGATCCAGTATTTGACAAGCCAAACACCATCGATCTGCTCATAGGAGCAGGGCTGTATTGGAAGATTCTCGTGGGAACACCGAAGAATCGTGATCCGGGACACCCGGCGTTCCAGAATACACGCTTAGGTTGGATCGTAGGAGGGGAAATACCTGGTCCGCGAGACAATTCATCAAGGACACATTTAGCGATCACGAACGACATGCTGAACAGCCAACTTGAAAGATTCTGGAGACAAGAAGAGATTCCGGAAACCATTCAATACACGGAAGAAGAAAAATACTGCGAGAAACACTTTGAAGAGACAGTACAACAGGATATGGATGGTCGATTCGTCGTAAGGTTACCGCAACGATCAGAGGTTCATCTAGGGGAATCGAAGGAACAAGCTCTTCGGCGATTGCTGTCACTCGAACGAAGATTCACAAAGGATTCGAAACTCAGAGAAGGTTATGTCAACTTCATGGATGACTACTTGAAGAAAAATCACATGTCGCTATCCCAGAATATAGAGACTCAAGAAGCGGAGTGCTGCGTACTTCCACATCAGGCTGTGGTGCGTCAGGAAAGTGTGACAACAAAACTACGCGTAGTTTTCGACGCATCAGCGAAGACAACAGTCGGCACATCATTGAATGATAGGCTCATGCCTGGACCGAATCTACAGCGAGAGTTGGTGGACATAATTCTACGATTCCGAACTCATCCCTACGTCATAACTGCTGACATCGCCATGATGTACAGGCAAATCCTCGTTAACGAAAAGGATCGCGCATTGCAGCGCATACTGTGGAGGAGAGATCCCAGCGAGCCGGTACAATTATACGATTTGAATACGGTGACGTACGGTACATCGTGTGCGCCTTATCTGGCGATGCGGTGTCTTAGAGAGCTGGCAGCGGTTTCGCAAGACCTGCCACAAGCTGCGAGAGCTGTAAACGCAGATTTCTATATGGACGATGTCCTCACCGGAGCTCGAACAATAGAAGAGGCTACCGAGCTACAACGACAACTTTCAGAGTTACTACTGCGAGGGCAATTCCAGCTGCGGAAATGGAGATCAAACGAGGCGAGAATCCTGCAAAATCTTGCCGAGGGAAGTAAAACCGACGAATTGCTGATTCTGGATAAAGAAGAAGCCGTGAAGACTCTAGGACTGCTCTGGAACGCTGCAGAAGACTGCTTGCAATATCATGTTGAAATCGAGACAACAGAGACTACTACAAAGCGTATAGTTCTTTCGAAAATCTCTCAAATATTCGACCCCCTGGGATTGATAACACCACTCCTTATAACTGGAAAAATCATTGTGCAAAGGCTGTGGTTGCTCGGGACGGATTGGGATGAAATGCTTCCTGACGAACCCAGGGAAGCTTGGGAAAATCACTACGCGTCCTTGCCAAGAATCAATGAACTAAGAGTACCAAGAAACGTGGTACACGCGCACTCGAATGGAAAATTTGAAATTTTCGGATTTGGAGACGCGTCAGAAAAGGCCTACGGTGCGTGTCTGTGCGCGGTGAGTATCGACGAGGAAGGAAGAAAACACTCTCATCTCATCTGTTCGAAAGCCAAGGTAGCACCGCTAAAAACAATATCCTTGCCGCGCTTGGAGCTCGAAGCGGCGTTGCTGCTGTCAAATCTCTTTGCCACCGTGGAAAAGGCCTACGGGGAGAGCATCGAGGCTGTGAAGCTATGGAGCGACAGTACTATAGTACTAGGATGGATCAACACTCAACCGAACGTTCTGAAGACTTTCGTGGCTAATCGAATTTCTAAGATCCAGAACATCACATCGAAAGCAACGTGGAATCACGTACCCTCTGAAGATAACCCTGCGGATATGCTGTCGCGAGGAATCACTATAGACCGCTTAATCGGAGACGAGTTGTGGTGGCATGGACCGAAGTGGATAAGGGAGAAAAATCCATGGCCAATGGACATGAAGAACCCTGAAACAGCTTTGCCTGAATTAAAATTGTGATGGGGGTGGCCGGGAGGGTGCGGCCGAAAGTGGCCGCATTCCTCGCATTCCGGTGTGACGTGGAAGGTGCAGCCGG